CCCCGACTCCAATGGGCCAAATGGGGCCCCCAGGCTCAGGCTGTAGAGCAAAAACATTGACCAGCGCCTCTGATATGTCACAATGTCGTTTTCTGACCATCAGAATTCTGTAAAATCTCTCCCCAAAGCCGGGAAATGGCATTTCATAAAGTCTAGATTCCACAATTTTCCAGGTGAGCATGCCCTGAACCCCTAGAAAACTTGTGCATATAGGCCCACGACGCTCAACTCGTGCCTTTGGCACACTACTAGGGGGGGGGGGCTTCGAAAATTTTGGACCGGGGGCCCCCTGATATAACGTTACGCCACTGCACAGAATAACATGTACAGGAACATTAGAGTTTGGTGTGGCTGGGTAGTCTCCTTCAAGTAACAATACTCTACCCTTAGCCAATACACCCTTTCGGAAAATACCTCACTTTGGCTAATAGTAATTACAAATACAGAACAGATAATGCCACTCTGTTGCGCAGACGCCACAAATAACCATCGGAATTTCTTGTGGTGCAGGCAGAAATAAGTACGCATCACTGGTACGCATCGGTACGCATCATAGATATAGGAGACCTAGATTGCTGACTCTAATGTTTTCTATAACGCACGAGCGTGGCACTCATGAGCATTCAAAATGGCGGCTCAACCGGGCAAAAATCATAGAGCGAGATAGGGAAAAAACATGTTTTTCGCAGTTTGCTTCGTCCTACAGCTTCCGATCCCGTTCTATCACTTTATTTTGGCAAGAACTAACTGGTGTGAAGGTTTTGGATGAATATTTGTACAATTTAAGTTTAATAAAGACGAAATAATCGATCGCTAAATGTTATCTGAAAATAATCACATAGTCGATTGAGCAGTTCGAGACATTTTGTTACAGAAAATAAAGGTTTTGGTTCTGTGGGTGCTTTTTTTCTCGAGGATCTTGGTTGGGATATATAACAGGGAATAATATTGTGAAGTATTTTGAAGTTAAAACCTATTTTACTTTATTTATTTGGTCTGCTGGTGCGAAAATTCTGATGCTCTGTTTAGTGTGACTTTGACAACCTCGTTGCTGCTGCAGATGTCAAGGGATCTCAAGTCTATATGGCCTGGACAGTGAAAAGTGATGAATCAATCAGGTTTATAGAGAGAACTAGTGACAGCGAAAGTTTTCAATGGAAACTAGTTTGAAGAAACTGACTAATTTGTCTGGTATGCATAAAAAACCTTCACAGTATCTAGTTCTCTCCAAGAAACCTGATTGATTCATCATTGATAATAAAAAATAGATGGGACGGCATCTTCGTTTAGATATTTCTTGGATAAGTTGGATTGGCCTTTTATTGATTGCTCTCCACAATCAGCACTCTCCCCTTCAGGCACTCTCCCCTTGAGACAGCTGACTTAAGCATCAGCTAGCTTTCCCTTGACGAGTAAAATTGTCTGGCGTTAGACAGAGTAAAATAATAAATTAGAGTACAAAACGACTCAATGGGTTAACTAAACACATGGGCAGATAGGCCAGTTAACCCATTAAGTGCCACTGCTCTCCCCTTGATGAGTAAAATTGTCTGGCGTTAGACAGAGTAAAATAATAAAGTAGGGCGCATTGCAACTCGATGGGTTAATATAATCATCGGGTGTGAAGTGTTTCTCATACAAGACAGGGTTCGTACGGGTCCTGGAAAGTCATGGAATTTCAATATTCCAAAATCCAGGCCTGGAAATCCTGGAGAATCAAAATTACGTATTTCAATTTACCAGTCATAACAATAATATGAATTGCTGTTTTCAATTTACCAGTCATAACAATAATATGAATTGCTGTTATATAACAGATTTTTGCAAGAGCGAAGTGAATTTTGTTCTTTTACTATATCTGTTATTGTTGAAATATTAACAAATTTCAGAAATTCCAGACTTCCAGGTCATGCATTTTGAAAAAAGTAGTCCTGGGAAGTCATGGAATTTTAAATCGGAGAAAGTGTGCGAACCCTGACAAGACTGGATATTTGATTGGCATCCAGTCTGCCCATTTCATTTTTTTAGCAGGCTGGGATTGGTTATAGGAAATCCAATAGTGCAAAGGGAAAGATGTATTTTTGGTTCACTGATGTGAACAAAAGTAAAACATTTTTGACCTTGAACAGGACAAGGACCTCTATGACAGTTGTTGTCAACATGCATGTATATATATAGAGAGAGGGACTCCTAACACAGATTGACACAGACATCAAAACAAGTTGTTTGGTCTAATATTCTTTTATTAAAACTGTAAATAGTTTTATATTGTAGCTAGCAAACTCAAAACTGCATTTGTTGAGACGTTGTCATTACAGTATTTACAAAACAAATTGTTTTTATTCTATTAATATTAAACTATTCTGTTTTATATGATGTAAGTTATAGACTTTATATAGTGTACAAATATATAATGTGTGTGTTTCATAGACTTACTTATGGAAGGAAAAGCGAATACCATCTTTTAAATCCCCACGTCTGCCTTGCACTAATACGATGAACACGATTCAGGCCGACATTCAAGCATTCTTTTTGATAAAACCCCCCAGATATTTTAATAGAATAGAAAGCCCTAGAATTTTCAGATGAAAATACTGTATTTTGGTCGATATAACAATGAAAGAACAAAATAAACAGTAGTAGCTTTTGGAATAGTTAGATATATATCACATTACTTGAGAAAAAACTCGTAAAAGACTGAAGGAATAAACAGGAAGAAACAAAAGACGAAAAGCGCGCGAAACTGCAGGCCTGCCCAATCTTGCCCGCTTGAATTGTAATTTGTAAATTGTATTGATTGTAACAAATATTCATCCAAAACCTTCACACCAGTTAGTTCTTGCCGAAATAAAGTGATAGAACGGGATCGTAAGCTGTAGGACGACGCAAAATGCAAAAAACATGGTTTTTCCCTATGTTGTTCTATGATTTTTGCCCGGTTGAGCCGCCATCTTGGATTTTCAAAATATGTCACGCCTGTTGAGTCGAGTCAGCAATCTAGGTCTCCTATATCTATGGTTTCAAAGGGGGGGGGGGTAGATAGCCATTATTAAGAAATCAATTCTTCTCATTTTTTTCAAACCAAAATTGCCTCAAAGCTTATTGCATGATACGATTTTCCGAATAATTAAATGTTTTTAAAAATTGAAATCTCATGTATCACTCTCCTGATAAATAGCCATATTTGCGAGATGAGTGAGGAGGTCCTTCCATGAAACCAGAGCAGGAAATTCCATTTTTGCTAAAAACTTGATAGGTTATTTTAATAAGGATTCGGGCAATTGAAGTAAACTGGCTACCGAGGATAATTATTACAAACATTTTGCCCTAAATTATACAAATCAAATTAAATCAAATTCAAATAATCCAGTCACGAAAATGACAGGCTTTAAAATTGGCCACCTAAATATAAGAAGCTTAGTCAAAAATATAGACCAGTTACGAATTTATTTATCTAATCAAAAGTATAACATACTAAGTATAAACGAAACTATGCTTGACAGTACAATATCTAATTATGAAATTAACATAAGTGGCTATGATATAGTTAGAAAAGATAGAAACCGAAATGGTGGTGGGGTAGCATTCTATATCAGAAATGTAATTGATTACAAAATAAGAAATGATTTAATGAATGAAAATCTTGAAACCATCACGATTGAGGTCTGTCCTCCAAAGGCAAAATCATTCTTTGTTAACACTTGGTATCGCCCACCAGATGCTTTTATTGAATGTTTCGAATGGTATGAAGAATGTATTATAAATTTGGACTTAGAGAACAAAGAGACTATTCTTATGAGGGAATTTAATTGTGATTGGAGCAAGTTATCCAATAATAATGCCGCCTCTCGTACGGTTAGAATGGCTACTCTAGCGAGTACTTATCAATTTGAGCAAATGATTAAGGAACCTACTCGGGTAACGGAAGCTCTAAGACACTGATTGATCTTGTATTATGTAACAAACCAGAACTCATCACGATGTCGGGTGTAGATCACCTTGGCATAAGTGACCACAATTTAATCTACGTATGTCGAAAAATATCCATTCCACGTAATGAACCAAAAATTATCCGCTATCGCCAATTTAAACATTATGATAAAAATTCGTTTCTGACAGAGCTTCGGGATATTCTGCAACATACGATAAATGATAACAACCCAGATGCACTCTGGGAAGATTTTAAAACAATATTTTTGTTTGTTGCCGACATTCATGCACCTCAAATTACGAGAAAGGTTAAAAGCGAATACACTTCTTGGATGACAAACAATATTAAGAAAGTTAAGAAACAGATTTATTATCGAGATTTTCTTAAGAAAAAAGCAATTAAACTAACTATCTATATAAAAGAGCCCGAAATACGTTGAATAAACTTATTAAAGACACGAAAAGGAATTATTATACGTGTGTTCTAAATGATACGAAAAATAATCCAAAGAATATGTGGAAAACAATTAATAAATTAACAAATAAAAAATCTAAGACAACTACGATCACCAAGCTTAACATATCAAATGATGTTACTGAAGATCCAAGTAAGATATTACACACTTTTAATACCTATTTCAAGACAACTGGAGAAAATTTAGCTAACGAAATACCAGATACTACCGATGCACCTGAATCATATGTTACTCCTAGTAATTCAACTTTTCAAATGCAAAATGTGTCTGAGGTAGATGTATTTCAGTTGCTCATTACATTAAAGATATATAAAGCTTGCGAACATGATAAAATACCTCGGCCAAAGCTTTTGCAAGATTCGGCAGTAGTTATTGCTCCAATTTTAACTCATATTTTTAACCAGTCAATTAATACAGGTATTTTTCCAAATGGTTTAAAAACTACAATAATATCTCCATTATATAAAAGTGGAAGCAAGACAGAATGTATCAACTATATACCTATTTCAGTTCTGTCAACTGTTGCCAAAATTTTCGAGAAACTAATACCAGTGCAATTGTACGGGCATTTGGAAAATAATGCAATACTTGCCTCCCAGTAATCTGGTTTCAGGAAAAAATTTTCAACGAAAACATCAATGCTGGATGTAACTAATAAATGGTTGATAAACATGGATCGAGGATATTTAAACGGGGTAATATTCCTTGATTTAAAGAAAGCTTTTGACTGCGTAGACCATGAAATTTTGTTAAAAAAGTTAATTCTTTACGGATGCAATGGACTGACATTAGATTGGTTTCGATCTTATCTTACAAATTGTACTCAAATGTGTAAAATTGCTCAAAGAGTGTCCTCCCCGGTTGTTATTACTTGTGGAGTTCCTCAGGGGTCTAACTTGCACCCATTACTTTTTCTTATTTATGTACATGACCTTCCTAACTGTCTATCTTTCTCGAATGCGAGTCTGTTTGCCGATAATACAAATTTAACAACTAGCGGTATATCTGCCGAAGTTGTTCAAAGTTAATTGAATGAGGATCTAAAAAAAGTTCACGGGTGGTTACTTGCCAATAAATTAACTCTAAATATCGAAAAAACTGAATATATGTTGATAGACCCTAGACAACGTTTAAATAATATCCAAACTCCTACAATTAGATTAGACGATACAGAAGTTAACAGAGTAAGTGAAATAAAAACCTTGGGGGTTGTGGTAGATTACCAGCTTCTTTGGAAAAATCATGTCGACGCTACAATTGCCAAGGTTTCAAAAGGAATCGGTATGTTGAGACGAATGAAACCTTACCTACCGAAACCTAAATGAAACCTTACTTTAATGCATGTCTACAATGCCCTAATTCTGCCTCATTTTGACTATTGTAGCCTTGTCTGGGATACATGCAGTAATTATCTAATTGAAAAATCACAAAAATTACATTAAGGGCTACAAGGGCTCATTTCAGGCAAATCGTACGAGATTAGATCGTGTGAGATTTTATCAGAACTTGGTTGGCGGCCACTGGCAGAACGAATAAAATTCAAAAAGGCAACGTTCATGTATAATGTGAAAAACAATAATCTAAATTAGCCTATGACATATTTTTGAAATTAGTGACAATGAATTCATAATTTGCGAAGTAATGCTTGTAAGTTGCAGTCTGCGGTTCTTTAGGACGTCAGCGAAACGCACATAACCATGAAACCGAACAATCCAAATCAATATATATTTAACGTGGTTTCTAAACAATAATTCACAAACATAGATATTTAACTATACAAATACGATTACAAACAATGAAACAACACAAGACAAATACCTGACTGTTAGTCCTGCTGGCTACCACACACTACAACGCTAAATTAACTTTAAAACAACAGGTGAGATCTCATATCGAATAAACCCAAAAAACAAAACATGTGTTCACATTTTTCCCAATCGCGAGTTTTTGTCCAGCCCTAAAGGCGGGTCTAGATCCTAGGGTCTAGCTATTTTGCGGGCCGCGGGCTGCGGGTCAGTTTTTGCGGGCTGCGGGTCAGTTTTTGCGGGCTGCGGGTTAAAACAATTGCGGGCCGCGGGCCAAATTGCTGGCCTAACTAATTTCTTGTTGCATGCCATATATGTTGCATGCAACCATAGGCGTACGGGACGGGGGGGCAGGGGGGGCAGTTGCCCCCCAAAAGATTACAAAGTCGAAAATTCGGGCAAATGTTCAACAAAAGTCGGGCAAAAGTCGGGCAAAAAGTAGTAAAAGCAACAAAATCTCTCTTAATAATAATCCCAGTTTGTTGGGCAAACAAAGCCAGTTTGGCAATATTCGCTTAACGTACAGTCGGGCAATATTGGGTTATTATAAAATAAAATGGGACAAATTGTGTACATTTTGCGGAAAATTATGGCGATTTTCGGGAAAATGTGTTTGATGTTCCGAAAAATTTTGGTATGTCGGAAAAATTTTTTGGACCCCTAAAATGGTACACTGACCGAAATTTTTTTGGCGACGGGGGGGGGGGAGGTCGCAAAAATTAATTGTTCCGGAAAAAAAATTTTCAGCACTTGTCGGGCACAATCCGAAAAATTCGGGCAAATTTCTTTCTGCCCCCCTAATTTTCTCCCGTCCCGTACGCCTATGCATGCAACTTTCATATAGCTCTAAATTTCGTGTCGCGGTGAGCGGCGGTGAGCGTACCGGTCACGTGGAAATTCGTAAAATACGACAAATACCGAGTTTTTCCGACAAGCAATTCATCACTCATGCTCGAGGAAAGGGAAAGAAAAATGTTTGAGTGTTCGCGGAAAATGTACATAATTGAGCGCCTTAGAAAAATAGATCAAGGTAGGTAAAGCTTTGATGGTTTTAATTTTCCTTATATTCTGTTATTTGTTGTGATTCTGGAGCAGTTGTGCTTGCAATGAATGATTATTTATCAGTCGTTTTTAATATTTAATATATCAAAGTGACTATATGACCGGCAGCCGGTCACGGTTTATCAAATACTAAATGGCCGGCAGTCTAGTGACTAGGGTCTAGCTATTTTGCGGGCTGCGGGTCAGGTTTTGCGGGCTGTGGGTTAAAACAATTGCGGGCCGCGGGCCAAATTGCTGGTCTAACTAATTTTTTGTTGCATGTCATATATGGCATGCAACTTTCATTGGCGAGCGTACCGGTCACGTGGCAAATTCGTAAAATACGACAAATACGGAGTTTTTCCGACGAGCATTTCATCACTCATGCTCGAGGAAAGGCAAAGAAAAATAATTGAGCGCCTTTAAAAATAGATCAAGGTAGATAAAGCTTTGGTGGTTTTAATTTTCCTTATATTCTGTTATTTGTTGTGATTCTGGAGCAGTTGTGCTCGCAATAAAATATTAATCATAAAATGAATGATTATTTATCAGTCGATTTTAATATTTATATCGTGAAGCCTGGCTACGCTATCAAAATACTCAATTTTTTATATATGCTCAATATATACTATATTGTGTGCAAAACTTCAAAACAACAGTACATTTTGTAAATAGCATGAAATATATTAAAATATCAAACAAAATTCTCATTATACTATTGAAATTTAATACAACGAAATAGTATTCTACGTCGATAATTTCAATCATAGTTTAATAATTATTTTCAATCTATAGTAATTCGCCGTTTCCATGTTTTTTTATACTTTCGATAAAGCTACAATAAAGCTAAATTTGTAGGAAATAACATTATTTAGTTATAAAATAGTATAAAAGGAAATCTAACAGTCAATCGCTTTCGATAAAACCTTGACCTTGTTTATATTACCGTCGTTTGCAACTAACGATGAACAGTCGCTCATAAAAACATTGCCTATTCGCGTGAGAATCTTAAGTTTTCTTATTTTGACATAATAGCTATTTTACAATAAATATATTGATATTAAATTTATTGAATCAATATTTTAAGTTTCAGGCCAGTTGTACCAAAAGTTATAAGCGGTAGCGCATTATAACCAGGGCACAGAAAGGGTCATACAGAAGCCCAATTTCTTGGTTTTTCCTATGATTTTCCTATGATTTTGGCGGTTAGCACTTTTTTCCATCCAGCAAACCGCCCTATCGATTTTCTAAAGTCGTTTTTTTGCATTTTTTTATTAATTCGATTAGGGTTAGAGTTAGGGTTGGGGTTAGGGTTAGGGGTTAGAGTAGGGACTAGGTGTAGGGTTTGTGTTAGTTACATAGCCATTTAAAGGCCGCTTTCCACTTCAACCGTATCGTACACGCGTAAAAACGCTCAGGTTGATGCAATACTGATGAAAACAGGATTGAACAATGTTTTGCTGCCCACATTGTTCATAGCTGTCAACAATATTGAACAATATTCAGGCTCAACAATAGTGTTCAATATTGTTGACAAGTGTGAACAATGTGGGCAGCAAAACATTGTTCAATCCTGTTGAGCAGCGGGCTCGGCGTTTTTTGCCGTGTACCGAAACGTAGCGTATTTCTTTGTTTCCTGAGCGCTAGAGAGGAACTAATGATTTCAACACAAAAGAAAATGCTACGATACGGTCGAAGTGGAAAACAGGTTTAACACCTCTTCTCTCTTCCGAAAATGACGTCAGGTCAGTTTGCTGGATGGAAAATAGTGCTACTATTAGGATTGGTGTACAGTTATCCCGGTCGAAACAGGTTTTAATGTCTGGTACGACTCATAAACTGAGATTCCATGATATTACAAAAAAAAATGAATTTAAGGAAAAATTCGTATGCATATGATTACAAATAACTTTAGACATAGAATATACTTCAAAGACAGAAAATTTTGAATAATATTGTTATTTTCTTTACATTTTGACAATATTTTTTTAAAAATTCGTCAGGCCCGCAACTAGACCCGCGGCTTGCAATCGTGTTAGCATTTTTCTGCCCGCAGCCCGCATTTTTCTGCCCGCAGCCCGCATTTTTCTGCCCGCAGCCCGCATTTTTTGGCCCGCAGCCCGCACTTTTTGGCCCGCAGCCCGCAGTTTCGGCCCGCAGCCCGCAACCCGCAGAATAGTTAAACTCTAGATCCTACACACCGGCCCCTATCGCAGTAACCTACTCGATACTAAAAAAGGGATCTAGACTGTTAACTGTGTAACAACATACATAATGTCAAAGAACGTTTAAATGTCTCACACCAATGTCTAGCATTGGCTTTCTTCATCCACTCCTTCTAGCAAACACAGTTGTCGGACATCTCTTTTAAATTTTCCGTTGGTTGTTCTGACCGTAACGGGTCGGACAATCCCCTTTTCATCAGGATAAACTTCCTCAACAACCGCCATGGGCCATCTTCCGCGATGGCAGTCCTTGTCTACTAACAACACAAGATCCTTGACTGCTAGGTTTCTCTTCGGTTCGAGCCACTTTTGACGTTGTTGTAAGGTAGGGAGGTATTCCTTCAGCCAACGTTTCCAGAAAGTGTTCGCGAGGAGTTGGGCTTGACGCCAACGTCTGTTGTAGCAGTCTCTGTCAACAAATATACCTGGTGGTACGCACGAATTGGAATGCAGAAGAAGTAGCTTACTTGGAGTTAATGGATCCAAGTCGTCTGGTTGACTCTCGTTTCGAAGAAGGGGACGATCATTCAAAATTCTTTCAACCTCATTGAGGAAGGTTTGGAATGCTTCGTCATCGACCACTTGCTCATTCATCACCGCCGCGAGTATCCGACGAATCGAACGTATCATCGTTCCCAGATTCCACCACTATGACTGGCCAAAGGTGGATTGAAGTGCTACGCTACTTCTTTCGCTCGTAAACTATGCTGCATCTTTAACTGTGCTTCGTCACACTTGATTCTCTCGAACTCTTCTTTTAAGATCCTGTTGCCTGCCACAAAGTTCGATCCATTGTCGCTGTAAATAGCAGTTGGAAGACCTCGTCGAGCACTGAAACGGCTGAAGGCGCAGAGAAAGGATTCGGCGTCGAGCGTATAAGCAACTTCGATATGGATGGCTCGCATCGCTAAGCAGGTGAAGACACAACCGTATCTTTTAACTTGGCATCTTCCTCTTTTTACCAGGAACGGACCGAAGCAATCGACACCTGTTGAAGCAAACGGGCGTTCAAACGCTGTAACACGAGGCACTGGAAGCGAAGCCATAACTTGCTTGCAAGGTGGCGCATAATTCTTACGACAAACTTTGCATTGGCCGATTATGTAACGGATTTTGGAGCGTCCTTGAAGAATCCACAGGTCTTGTTGAATAGCAGCGAGAACGGCTCGGGTTCCAGCATGTCCTTCTCGTTCGTGGTAATGTCGAATCAAAGGACCAACGATGTGGTGTTTACTTGGGATTACTGTCGGATGTTTGGCATCAAAGGATATTTCAGCTCTTTCTAATCTACCGCCAACTCTCAGTAAACCGTCGTCTCCCATGAAAGGCGATAAGGCAGCCAACTTGCTCGATTTTTTCACAATAGCCTTGGAGGGAGGATCATTGCTCGATTTACGTTTGAGACATGCTACTTCTTCCGGAAAGGATTCGCGTTGCACATAACGAATAATGACCGTCTTCGCATTTCGCAGCTCTACGACTGATAAAGAGTTCGCTCCGGCCCCTGTAGATTCGTCAGGACTGGACGTTCTCGGCTTTCGGACCTCGAGACCGTCGTGATTTCGTGCTTGATGAACAGTTTTTAAATAGCGAATAAATCGAATGAGCCATGCGACTCCCTTCTGGAGACGATACCACGATGAATAATGCTGTATGAAGACATCGAACGGTTTAACTTGCTGTGCTTGTGTCTCGTAAACTTTGACGTCCTTCTTCCATTCGAGAGCTTCGTCAGGAAGTGTGCTTATTTCTGTTGACGGGTTGGCCACGCTTCTGCTTTACCTCGAAGAAAATCCGGTCCATTGATCCATTGGTTAATTTCACGTGCATCGGTAGGTCGCAGGGCTTGGGAAGCATAATCGGTTGGATTAGCCTTGGAATCGACGTATCTCCAACTTGATGGGCTTGAGAAGTCGTGGATAAGAGCGATTCTGTTGGCTACGAACGTCTTGAACCGGTTAGACTCATTGTTGAGGTATTGTAAAACGCACGTAGAATCCGTCCAGAACGTGACTGAGTCGTTCAACCATATTTCCCACGCCTGCAACATACTCGGTGAAATGTCTTCGTCCCATCCAATCTTGTCTTTACACAACTGTTGTAGTATACGCTTAGCCGGCAGGATAAAGGGTGCCGCGAACCCCAAAGGATCGTACATGGAGCTCACATCCGATAAAATACCTCGACGTGTTGGTGCTTTCTTTCTCTCGGCCGTTCGGAAATTGAAGGTATCTTCTTTCACATTCCATTCTACCCCGAGGGCTATTTCAACTGGTAGTTCATCAAAGTCTAGGCTGACAATGGATTTCGCACGTTCACTTTCAGGAATCGAAGACAAAACGTTCACATCATTGCATACAAACTTCGTTAATCGGAACGATCGCTTCGCTGAAAGCCGACGATTCGAAGTTCTTCGATCAGTTGGATAGCGTCCTCCGTTTTCTGCACAGATTTAAGACAATCGTCTACATAAAAGTTTTTACGGATAGTCTTGATCGTTTCCTCGTCGAACTCGTTTTCGAATTCGTCAGCAACCTTGCGTAGACAGAATCCCGCGCAACTCGGGGAGGAAGTGGCTCCAAAGAGATGAACCAACATTTTGTATTCTTCCGGTAATTGTTCGTAATCGCCGTCACGCCACCAAAGAAACCTGAGGAAATTGCGATGCTCTGAAGAAACTCGAACTTGGCAAAACATTGCCTCAATATCGACTAGAAATGCAATCGGGCGTTGGCGAAACCTGGTTAAGACTCCTACGAGTGTATTCGTCATATCTGGTCCTTGGAGCAGTTGGTTGTTCAAGGAGATCTCGTCATACTTGGCAGCGCAGTCGAACACAATTTTTGGCCTTGTTGGCTTTCGAGGATGCAAAACTGGATGGTCGGGTAGATACCATATGCCTCTCTTGTTGGTCTCAGCATCACGCAATTGGCTTGGGTCGATCTTAACAGCATACCCTTTGTCAACGTATTCGTCAATACCAATCTTGTACTTGGCATGGAGATCTGGATCTTTCTTCAGTCGCATTTTCAGAGAATGTAGTCTCCTTTCAGCAAGGCTTCTATTGTTGGGAAAATATGGTTTCGTGCGAAATGGACGATCCAGCTGGTAGCGACCGTCAACAATCTTCAAGGAATTCTCCATCGTGGTTAGTGCTTTCTGATCTTCTAGTGACATGCTTAAATCTGGGGAATATGTGGACTCACTGAAATCCATTTGAAACATCTTATCCACAGTCTCGTTGAGGAACTCATCTTCCTGGCGGATGAAGAAAGAACTAACATTGCTGTCAGAGTTAGTTCCTAAAGGACCTGCTACAGACCATCCCAAAGGGGTTCGAACCGCGTATGGCTCTTTCTTCCGACCACGTCTTTCTTCTAGTTTCCAGTGTGCTTCAGGGATGTCAGCACTAATTAGAATTGTGACCTCCGAACTTTCCAGTTCTGGCACAGAGATTCCATCAAAATATTTCCACTTGGCTATATCTTGTTCGTTCGGGATACAGCTTGCAGAGACCGACAAATCTTTGACTGAAAGCGCATTTGGAATTTCTAAACGATCTTTCTGTCCCAGGCCTTGCACATAGAAGAAATGAGATCTGCCAGATTCTTGGGAGACTCCGTTCATAGTAGTCAACTGAAAATCTATCGGCTGCCCCTTCAATTTTAACTCGTTAGCTAGGCTCTCCTTTACTAGCGTTGTATTCGATCCTTCATCTCTTATTGCATGTGTGACCTTTTCGATACCATTGTCTCTTCCAAACATTTTAACAGGAACGACTCTCAAGCAAACTTGTTTCTTTATAGTTCCGGTTGCTCCACATTGTCCTGTCTGAGCATTCTGGAATTGGACGGGCGAAGAACTGGTTGTCTGTCCTTGGATTTCCTCGTTATCTGTCTTGACCGGTGCTTGGACTTTGTTGTCTCGATTAAGTTCAACGGGATGAAGCATGGGATGGTGTTGTTTTCCACATCCAGGAATAAAGAATCCATGGTATTTCTTACATCTCTTGGCGAAATGTCCTTTAGAAAGGCAAAGATTACACAGACCTTGCTTGGAAACAAAGGATTTCCGTTCATCATATGATTTCCCTTGGAACTTGAAACATCTTTCGACAGTGTGGCCTTCCTTATCACAAAAGTAGCATTTCAGTTTTGCAGACGATCTCCCTCCGGGTGAATAACTGGTCTGCGCGGAATCTTGTTCTTTAATGGATCCGGTCGATGCAAACGATGACACTCTGCGAGACTGTCCACTAAACCGAGGGTTCTTGTTTCTTTCACGTTCGATTTCGGGTTTTGTGTTAATCAAGCGGCCATATTCCGTATTCGCCAATTTCGCTCTCTTCACGACAAACTTGGTCAACTGCGAGAAATCTGGCTCCTTTCCCTCATAATTAATTAAATAAATAAAGAATAATACATGGGTGCGCGGAAATACCAGATTTATTTCGAGTGTTGAACATGATATCTCACGAGTGAGGGCAGCGAACGAGTGAGATATCATGTTCAACACGAGAAATAAATCTGGTATTTCCAAGCACCCATGTATTTTTCTGTTTATTATATAAAGGACAGTCTTTGAAAAGCGATAATTTTTACAGAAAAGCGATAATTGAAAAGCGATAATTTCCACATTTGAGATTATCATGAATAATCTCACATGTGAGATTATCACTTTTATCAGTGCTCGAAATCTCTATAAAGCACTATACTTATATAATAATATATTTTACGTTTATGTCGTAGACTGTAGTGTATTTAAGATTCAAATAAAAAGGTTTTGACTATCTATGTAAAGGATCGGACTTTGAGAGCGGCTGAGATAACTGAACCGTCCCGATAAACTCGACAAAACAAACTAACAACAACGCATAGACCTTTCGTGGTCTATGTTACAAACGCATAGACTTTTCGTGGTCTATAGTCTTCTTGTATGTTAAACGTATATTTATCCAGGACAGTACGTAAAAACTAAAATAAACAATAATTACAAGTCATAAATCTATCTACTTTGCCATATATTACAATTATAAATCACTACAGTATATTATTATATAAACGTACCTCTGTCCCCGCATGCTATGAAGACAGAAATACCACCATTCGATTCAGAAATAAAATATCAACTAGTTCCAAACGATAGTTATAGTCATTATTAGTATTGTAACGATTTATGGGCCTTTGAAAGTCAAAACGATCATATTGTATCAAATTACGCAATTGTCTGAACAAAAATACAGATTATTATAGACTAGCCATACCTTTCGCCGAAAATAACTTCGGCCCCATCGAACATATCGTCTTTGTAGTAGTCTTGTTCGAATCCCCATTAAATAGTGTTTTTGGAGTGTTATTTGCAACCCTGAATCTACAAATCTGTATCTTTTATCAATATATTACCATTTCTTGTCCGACTGTGAGCTCGAAGTGAATTAATCCCAACCGGAAATACGACTCAAAACCGTCAAAACAATGCGGCGTTTGTATCGTATGACCCTGGAAAGGCCAGAAATGGATTCGCAAGGTCAAATTGCACCTACACGCGTGAGTTTGACGTCATCCCGGCCAAAGGAGCTTCTTATTGGCCAATTATTGCACAATGTACGCAAGTGCGAGTAAAACCCGACACTTGAAAAATTCAAAATAAATATTTCTAGTCGGCGTATACATACGAAACTTTCTACACGAAAGCGCTTGAATACAGAGAGTATTTTACACGTACAGCCGTTCAGCAAATGACGAAAAGTTCAAGGGGTATTCAAGATCTTGTGGATATGAAATTTAGAATCTTTGGCCAAGCGGTGAGTAAATATATGATTGTTTCGCTTTGTGTAATGTTTTGACGGCACTTGACCCCCCGTTCGAAAGGTTGTTTTATGAGGATTTCAATGGTGGCATTTATTTAAAAGGGGGGTAAATACTCGCCAAGATATTTATATTAGAAAAATTGTATCGAAATGTAATACGAAACCGGTTGTCGAGAAAGAGTACTTTAACTCCAAATTTGGAGTTAAACTAACCTTAAAATTTTAACTCCACCAAAAAGGAGTAATAGGGGAGTTATTTTAACTCCCTGAAAATAACAGTGTAGCCTATAGCAAACAGCATATAGGCTATATATAATGTTTGAAGTTATTATAGGTTCACAATCTGTAAATCATTTTCACGAATCGTACGCTTCGTACGGTCCGTAAAGCCATTTCACAGTTCGTATACGGTCCGTACGGATTTGTCGGATCGAGAATCGTCTTACGAGCCGTACGAACGTTACGATCCGTCGAACTGTTGGTAGATCTGGGCAACAAGCATCTGCTATTGGAGACCACCTATTGCGTTTACGAGTTGATACGGATCGTGACTGGTGTTTACGGTCCGTACGAATTTGACGGATCGTGAAGCTGCTTCACGATCCGTATCATGTCGACAGTATTGGACATGTATGTGCTACGCAGGCTAGTTAATGAGTGATGGAACAGTTTGAAACGCATTATGAAAAAAATGAACCTGTTCCTTGGAATTCAACTGATGATATGGAAGACATGCGATTTCATCATCTCTTTCATTAAGTTCTTTGTCAGTAAGAGTGAACATTTCCCAGATCAACACTCCAAACGCCCACACGTCACTGGCTTTGCTGTAGTCGCCATCCATGATTATTTCTGGTGAACTCCTAAAACGATATGGTGATTAAAGCTATAGGTTAAAGTTTAAAGATGATCCAGAAAGAACATCGCCAACCATCCTATTTGTACAAATACTACTTATACTACATACAGTATAATATATTATTAGAAAAAATGAAATTTTGCGTCATTCTATATATACATTTGTGTCGTAGTTGGTTAATTTTTGCCGCTTAACAACAAGCTGACAATCTCATGAACTTCATAATATATCCTAAGTTCGTATTTCTTCTTATTTACTTATTGCAAACAAGATCTTTTATTGTTTCTTTAATTTCATTGGTGCGTAAATTTAAGATATGATGGGATCACTTCCTATGTAGAAAATGAGTTTGTAGAAAAGGCAGGAAATAATATCAACAACGTAATTTTGCAAGAAATATTTTACTTGTGTGTCTAAGGTTCCGTTGAAGATCGTAAAAGAGAAAGAGAGGAGCAATTCAGATTTTAAAGAACAATCAGTCCTTATTTCAAATTTTATTACAAGAATACATCTTATTGTTCTTCCTGGATATTGGATATTAAAATGTTTTAGAAAAAAATCATAAGCACAATTTACCTACCATCTAAGAGAGTCGTCGGACATTGGAAGCTTGATTGGAATCGTCGACAATTGATCATCCGGATTAAGTTTTAGTCGTCTTACCCGTGCGAGACATGCCAGTTTCGCCTAAATTTAGCGTTATAATTAAACATCGTCATAAAAATTTAGTCACTTAATTAAAAGTCCGAAGGCGGGAAGGTAGGCTTTATATAAGATTTAAATTATATAAATAACTATTACATTGCGATAAATAACTTTTCGAGCAACACAATGATACGCAACTCACTGGCAAAATTCGAAATGTGCAAACTTTTACACTTTAGTTTCCGCTCGAAACTAAAACATTTCGGGCGACGCTTTTCGAAAAAAACAAGGCACATTCCTTTTGAGTCCGATTGTCAAGAAAAATGTTACGATGATTTTAGACGATATATTCTTGGGTCTGATCTTTTATTTTCGATTTAGTGGCAACGTACACGCAGTGGCGTAACGGAGGAAGATGGGGCCCTGTGGTTGGCCCTGCACACATTGACTATTGTCATTGTTTGACTGAGATATTATAATTATATTGAATTTTTATAGAATGTTCAAGAAATTAAATTGTAACGATAACAATATAACAGTCTCCAACACATGTAACAACTAATAAGAACAACTTTTGTTTTTTTTTGAGATGGAATAAATAAATCAGCTACCGTTGTCGTTGTCTTTATTATTGAGCATCATTAATTTTGCATTTTCCCATGATTCTAAACCTGTATTTTTTATGTTTTCTAATTTCTGGGCGATGGGCCGTGGCTAATAGGGGCCCCTAACTGTCCTTATAGTTTTTTAACTAACCCTAACCAATGACCGTAATTCGCCACTGCGTACACGAGTAGTGTAGGAACTGGGGGAGCTGGATAATTTTTTCCGCTGAGAATGCCAATTTCCCCCGTTCTTACAGCCCCACGTCACCCATTTATTGCATCGTATTCACCCCGGCTAAAACCACGACAATGCTTTTCTAGACGTTGTTCGGAGCCATTGTTACCATTCTAGAAAATTAGTTCTAAAATAGGCATTTCTGAGAGTCTAGGTCCAATCCATGGTCATCATTCCATACACTGTGTAAACCCAAGCCCACACCTTTCATCCTGTCTAACCGCCTCCAGAACGCCCTACCCGTTCAGCAAAAGACATCGTCGTCTGACCAATCCGTGTTTGCGTAGTTCGTGCGGTCATTATCAGACTCAGGTTCATACACCCTATCGCCTGATCAGTCTGAGTCGTAGTCCGTTTCCCAGTCGCTCCCTAACTCATAATCACCCTTTATCGCATGGTGGCCATACGCATAGTTGGTGATGCCGTCTTCCATTAGGTGTCTCTTGTCGTCGAAACAGCTCAGTGTTACCTTCCTGCACTCATATGTTCCAATCTGGTGTTTTATGCTTCTCATTGTATTCATGTTGTGCCTCAGCTGTTTCTTCTCACTTATCACATTCATGAAGTCGTCGTGTGTTAGATTGTTTTTTTATCACATACTTTTTCACACCCTTTGCCGTCATCCCACCTTTGCCACTCTCTTTCAGGTAACTGTACATTTTACTTCTCAACCCGCAGAATTCCACAATTAGAACTCCACCAGCTTCGTCCATGAACTTTCCAACCACTTTCTTATTCCGGTCGTGGTAGAATGGTGAGTCCTTCTGATAGTCAGAGTTGTCGAAGATATCGTTGTTCTTGCTGATCTCCTCAAAGTCCTTGTACACATCGTCGGTCTTGATATCGTACATCAGACTGTCCGTATCCGTGAACAGTAGTTTGCACTTGAAACCGTACTCAGACTTCATCGTTTTGTAGTGAAACCGGTACATCAGTACCTTTGATAGATCGAGTACACACATTCCTGCGTAGCATGGTTTATTCAGAGTTAGCACTTCCTTCATCGTCTTTACTGCGACCATGTCACCGGTCATGATCCTATGCGACTGGAAGCATGGGCTTGCCACTGCCTTTATCATTTCGGATTCATTCCTCACGAGTTTCACATCGACTCTCTTCTTCACTTTCTCCATAGTTTTGTCGTAGATTGAATTGTTAATCAACTTGAAAAAGTTCTTCTCAAACGAATTCTTAGAGGCGGCTCTCATCTTCGTGTTGTAGTCAATATATTTTTTCAACCATCTCGATTGCTTGAATGTTACTGCTCTATGTACCTTTGTAAGAACCTTTCCTTTTGCTATGTACAGGTTCAGGTTCCTGGCATGTAGTACATATTTCCTTCGGGGGCCAAGAGTTGTCACAAGTTTCCTTACACCACCCACAGTTATATTGTGTTTGTCGGCTATGTTCCTTGCGTAGTCTTACAACATGTCCTCTCTGATTTCCTTGCTCTCTGGTTCTAGCGGGTAACCGTTGTGTAACCTGTGTAATTCCTCTGGATATTCCAGGTCTACAGTACTTCCAACACAGCCCCCCTATCGCTTTCACTGAGATAGTCCTTATAATCTATATCATCAGGGTTCTCCGCCCATTTGAAATCTCCACTTGGAAGTTTCTGTGACATGGCCCATCCATATAAGTTGTTAGCATCTAAGTACATTATGTAGTTACTTGGCTTGGTCTTGTCATAGGTACTCATGTACTTATTATTTGCCTTTGCGTACCGATGCGCTATGTAGCTTGTCCCACCGCGCATTCCTTTCTCAAAGAACTGGAATATGTCCATGTCGCTTATCAACCCTACTTTCTTCTTTGACATCTTCAGGAATGCATCTCAACTGAGGCCCGGAGCAGAGACGTAGTGAGCTGGGTCTAGGCCGTAGTTCTTCAGACATGTCATTCTGAAGTTCTCAAAGATGTCTGCCAGACGCAACACATCTGTTTCCAGATACAGATCATGATAGTCTTTCATCGTTTTCATTCCGAAGTGTTTCCACACTCTCTGTGCTCTTTCGTAGTCCTCATTCGATACCTCAGACTCGTAAAGTGTGGAGTAGAAGTCGTTCTTATCCTGCGCTTTCCGGTGTCTAGTTTCTTTAGACTGTCCATAACCTCATAAGGAAATATTCCCTTCTGTGTTACAAGATCGAAGTCTTCACCATGCCACCGCTTGCCTACAAGGTGGAATTCTTCCTTTGGTAGGAAGCTGGCCAGTGACTCAAGTGAAGAAGTCATGAATTGTATCGAGTCGATGAAGACTAAGTTTTGTCCAAATGAGAAGGATATATACTTTTCCATGTTATTCGGTATCACATTGACTTCAAGGCCGAAGTTTCCTATCTTCTGCATTCTCAGATGAGAGTCGTATCCTCTCAGATTGTGGAATACCACCGGGATTTTCCACGAGAGTCTGTGATTGAGGTTGCACTTGTTGTGGGCGGCTCCGCGGTACTTACTTGTGAAATGACAGTGGTCCCTCACCTTGTCATCGCCTTCCATCTTCTCACAGCATATGTGATTACTTGGTAGCATCCTGGAATTCTGTTTCCTGTTTGCCCGTAATCACCATTGGTTTTCTGAACTCCTTGTGAGCGATGTATCTACATTGTTCAGACTTCTCTATCAGCGCCTTCAGGAATCTGTATGCAGCGCCCATCCCAACGTAATGTGTGTACTCACCTTAGTATTTGTCGTCGTAGTGACACACGCGTTTGAACCCAAAGCTGCATGCATGATGTGTCTGGTACCTGTTCGTGTAACTTTCGTCCACAGTGTTATCCATTTTTCTGTCTCTGTCTGAAACCAGTAGTGACTCGAAATCCGCATATATAACGAATGGGGCTGGCAGCTGGTTCTTGTCGTTTTGGAAGCTGATTTTTGTGCCCTCCTTCGGTAATTTCACAGCCTGCATTCTGTTCACTAGTATACAGGTCTCCTTGTGTTTGGCTAGTGATTCTTCACTATCACAGTTGTGGAAGCAGTACAGGCAGAAGTGCTTCTTGATTTTGTTCTTTGTGACACCACACAGTAACCTGTTAACGTCCTTTATCAGTACATAGTGAAGACCTCCTTCACCGTCGCCCAGTAGTAACAGTTCCATGTGATCCCCGTATTCCTCCTTGGAGACCCTGATTGGGTAGAACTGCTTTTTACCCTTATAGCCGAACACTGTTATGTTGATCTTATTCTTTTTCTCAATCTTTCCTATGTCGCCTACCTTAACCTGAATCTCTATTCCCTCGTAGTCCAGGGTGTCCCCATAGTTCCTATCATTTTTCGTTATGTAGGTGGGATTGTTTTTCGTCGGTCTGTGGTGTCTCACGTGGCACCATAGGAAGCACATTTCGTCGTCGTTCCTAAGGTTAATTAGGCCTGACATTGGGTTGTTTATGTCCTCGGGCAGCCTTATGTAGGAACTACCTTTCAGTGATTTGTACATTGCAATGTTCAGGTAGTGGCTCTCGATGTTCATTATCTTCCAATTACTGCCTAAGTTCTGAAATGCTTCGATTCTTAGCTGTTCGTTCCCTGCAGCTGTGCTTTCGACATCCTCGAAGTTCGTAACGGTTCCTGTTTTCGACTTGAAGTACACTGAGTCTTTCTTTGTTTTTCCCTCACCAACTTCCTTCGACATTCTGACCTTCATTGTTTCCGTGTATTTTAGACCACCCATTTTCCTCAGCTCCTTTACCAGAATGTCCCTCACAACCTGTCTGCTGGAGGTTAGCTGTTCCAGTGGGTCTATGTGTGCCGGTGATATGGAGTACGTGACAGCCGCTCCATTGGCTGCAGTCTCTATCTTCCTGTGATTGGGCTTCTGTAGATCTGTACCGAATGGGTCTATCTCCGGTACCGTGTGTTGTAGCACATGGGCTTGCGGTTCAACTTCCCTCATTTTCCATTCGGGTTTCCTGATTTTAGGTTTCGGTTGTGTCACTGCTGGTTTTTTAAGGTTTATTTTGATTGATGATTTTACCGTTGGCTTTACCTGCTTGGTTGGAGGTGTTTGCGTTTGTATTGGTGTTATGCTTGCCACTGATAGCGTTTTCGGTTTCACTAGATTTATATGCACGCTTGAAGTATATGTTTTCGGTCCAGCTTTGGGCATTAGTGGTCTTGTTCTTGGTCTCGGTGTTGGTCTTGTTCTTGGGAGCGCTGTTGTTGGTTTGGTCATTAGTGGTCTTGTTCTTGGTCTCGGTGTTGGTCTTGTTCTTGGTTTGGGTGTTGGTCTCCACTGTTTTGCTCCTTCTGGTATCTTTGGTGGTTCTCGTGATGGTCTGCCAGGTTTCCCTGCTTTTCTCCCTTCACTGAATGGGTCAAGTTCATCGTCGCTCACGTATCTTCTCTTCATTTATCTCCTATATTTTTAGTATATTTTTTACTCTTTAGATCAAGGTCCATTTTACCACTCTCTATATTTTTAGTATATTTTTTACTCTTTAGGTCAAAGTCCATTTTATCGCTCTCTTATATTTTTATAATGTAAAATATTTTTTTGGTCTGAACGCACTCCGCTTTGATCTCGCAATTCGCGCGCCTGCACTCCACTTGTAGGTTGGTTTCTTACTTCTGTTTTTCCTGCCATCGTCTCACTCCCTATAACTTACTAGTAGAAAATTATTTTTAAGTTGAGGTCAGAAATTTTTTGGTCGCCCTATAGTCTTGAAATTTTTTCGTAAAAAAATGAGCGACTGTGTTTGGTCGCCCTATAGTCTTGAAATGTTTTTAATTTTGTTTTGACTTCCAGGAAAGGTAGTAGGTACTCTTTTTCTGAGATCTCGCTTCTGTTGCTTTGTGTAATTCTCTGGATATTCTTGTCGATCAAGATAAGTCAAAATATCTGCCATTCTTACTATACTTGCAGCTTAATTTGTGATAGTAGCCGATCAATTTTTCCGATACGTCTTTAAAAGGCAATGCCTATGGCAAGTGATTTCTGTTCATATATTTTGCACTTTTATACTTAAGCCATTCAATCATTGCATGTTTACGTCACTTTTATTATAATAATATCAATAACATATTATAAAAACAATGGCTTGAAAATTTTATAAATAGCAGTGTTAACAATAGCCGCCACAGTAATCACTTGCTAACAATAAACTATAGGATTAATAAAAACTCTATGGAATGTTTGGAAGCGTATTGACTATTGTCCATTGAATCATCAACTTTCCATGTCAGTGTCAGTGATGTAATCTTGATTTTTAACTTCCGCAAAAAAAAATTGCATTATATATGTGGTGTGGTTTATTCAAATAATTTCATGATACTTTGATTTTATTAGTGCCTTAAATATTTGAGATGTGACTCTTTTTTTTTAAACGTATATTATTGGAGTATACTAGCAAGTTCTACCCTTGAGATTTTCAAACTATATTAAAATAATACAAAAAAAATAGTGACAACTTATAAGCCATACGTTTTCCGATAACGACAAAACGTGGATGCAAAGCAATTTTAACAATACAGTTTAATAAAAGGCAATGCCTATGGCAAGTGATTTCTGTTCATATATTTTGCACTTTTATACTTAAACCATTCAATCATTGCATGTTTACGTCACTTATATCATAATAATATCAATAACATATTATAAAAACAATCGCTTGAAAATTTTATAAATAGCAGTGTTAACAATAGCCGCCACAGTAATCACTTGCTAACAATAAACTATAGGATTAATAAAAAATCTATACGTCGTATATTATTGGAGTATACTAGCAAGTTCTACCCTTGAGATTTTCAAACTATATTAAAATAATACAAAAAAAAATAGTGACAACTTATAAGCCATACGTTTTCCGATAACGACAAAACGGCAAATGTGTTACTGACTACTGTAATATAAACACGGTGGTTTTGTACTAAATACCATAAACACGATCTATATATAAGAACTACGGTACCTAACCAATTCAATTATTTTCAATCAATAATGACAATATGAATGAATATAGTTTGTGAATACTGCGGCATCGGTATAGACTATAGTCTAGAAAAAAGTAGATTTTTAGTTCTCTTTATGATGAAACTAAACGGTTCGATTATAAAGAAAAATATACTATATAGCTAGTTTATGCATGTATCAGTTAAAAAAAAACAAGTTTTGACAATACCAATAATTACAATAACCACCACGGTGATTACTTTTTAACAATGAGTTTAAGGATTAACACTGAAAATGCAAAACATGCATGGTGTGCTGTGAAGCGTCATAAGTCCTATTGAGTATTGATCTACTGTAACTGTTAAAGCCATTTCGATACATGTGATCGAATTGTAAATTTGTATTCTTACAGGGCTCGAAATAACGTTCCCAAATTTCCTGATCATGGTGATCGGCAGTCATGACTTTCCCTGCTTGTCCATGTTGGAAACCGAAATCCTGCTTTTCCGCCGATCATAAGCAATTCCAAGCCGATCATTGTTCGGTTGTTATTTCAAGCTCTGTCTTAACAATTTTGAATTGATACTGATTTCAAATATTAAAGACATGTAATAATTATCCCATGCAACTGTTAGGAAGGGCGAAATTTTGAACGGAGGACGAAAATCCTAAAGAAAAGGTGAAGTTTCTAAAGGGGGGCGAATTTCCTAAAGGGGGGCGAAATTCCTAGGATTTTCGCCCCCCTGGGGGGGGCGATATTCCCAGGAATTTCGCCCCCCGGGGGGCGAAAAT